GTGTAGATCTCGGTGCTCGAAGCGCATGTGTTTCTCTGCTATGCCTAAGCTTAGCACAACTTGGCGAAATATGCTTTCTACCTGTTCGAAAGACTCAAACTAAAATCGTCCATATAATTACTATTAGTATGACAGTGAATAAACCAAAACAATAAACTAACCTTAAATTCCTCGAGCGACAGCCCACCACGTTCGATGACGAACATCACGAACATCTGACTGTCATCAAAAATGTTTGGTCGGTCGTTTTGCGACATATGGGTAGAAGCGTATTCATCCCATGCCGTCAGAAACATCTCCGGGTACGAACCGCGAAGAACACAAGTTCTTAAGAGCAAAAAATCTTGCAATAATAGAACAGCACAGAAAAGATGGCAACCTTCAGGAGACGAGTATTCCGTACACTTTCGATGTTGGACAGCACTTGTGATTCCTGTTGCAAAGAACTTGTGATGCTGTTCGGTATTAGTATTCATTGTTGTGTCATCAGATAAGAGAACCTTACCGCTTTTCATTTTACAACATATTTCTACATTTAGGTGATCACCATTTAGGTAGCACACAATCTCAAATTTCCTTCTCATGAAGCGGTACGCATTTAAGGATGAACAGCGAGTGACTCCACCGGGGCAAGGATTTAAGGCGTCCCTTGGATTCTGTATTATCACAAAATCAACCGACGAATAAACAACAAATGACCTTTTCTTATAGTAAAAAATCAAAGTAAAGAAACGTTCAACGTACCGCATAAGCTTCAGGTAGTTCGGAGCTGAAACGCAACTGCCTTTCACCATTTCGCTTAGACTCCTAAAAAACGAAAACTTCATTGCGACGATGGTAAAGAAAAAAGATTGGACGTTTGTTTCAGATCAAATAAAAATTAATAATCGGTCAGAAACGAGCAAATAAATCAGACTATATGCAAAATTATGAAAAACTATGCGTGTTCTGCGTTTAAGTTTTCACAGCGTTGATCGCACGTTATTTGTTTCTAGAAGCGTAAATAAAAGTTTAAGCAGCCCATAATTTCATAGTATTATGTTACCAGCAATACAGGAATGAAAAACTGCATCATTGTTGCATGAACAATATATTTGAACACGAAATAAAATATCTTTGTTCGGAAGCACATATAATCAAAACTATCTATACTCAGCAGCTCTATTTTGCTGAAATATAATCATATTTTGTTTATCTTTATCGGTATAAGTTTCCAAATGAATTAAGTTATCTAACATCAAAAATAAAGAAAATGTTTTGTTATTTGTAGGAGATATGGGTCAGGATTGCTTTCGAGTAAAGTGAACCTTTAAGTCCTAATAAACAACACGAGATGAAATAACGAAGGTCGTATAGAAATTTAGCAAACATTAGGAAAGCTTTAAACTGGTCCCCACGATCACTATTCTAGAGCGG